GAAGGGTCTAGGCCCGAAACGTCGGCCTTCCTGCTCCTATGATGCTGCTTGGCCTGCTGTGTTCATCCAGCTCTACACCTTGTTATCTCAGATTTTCCAGCATCTGCAGTTCCTACTATTTCTGGCGAATTGTATATGCATGTTGTTGTAAAAGAAATCAAGGGAGGAGGTAGCAGAGACATAGGTGGGTATTTAACAATTTCTAGTAGGAAAAATATGTTGTGCAAAAGGACTGGTAAATAACTAATCTATTTCTTATCTTTAAGTGGGACTCTAGAATGTCCAAGAAACTATGCTCAGTCAACTTGTGGTGGGAAGTATAATGAGTGCATGTTAAAGATGAAAATGGCAAATCTGTAGAAGCCCAAAATATAATTAATCTGCATTCGTTTCACGAGTGATTGTCTTATTTGACCAATCTCACTGAATTTTTGAGGAGGTAACAGAGAACATAGACAGGAGCAGAGTAGTATGTACCATCTAGATTTCTAAACAATTATCAATAGATGAATAAGGTCAGAGTGTACAGGGACTAGCAGAATGGATAAGTAACTGGCTTCTAGACTAAAAGCAGAACAAAGTATGGAAGAAGGGGGGTTCCCCAAAGATCAATCTGGGACCACAGTTCACAAGCTTTATTAACAATTTAGAGTCAACAAAATTTCTAAAGTCATGGATGACAGCAAGTTGGGGTAAGCTGAGGAAGGCTGTAACAAATTACAGGAAGGCATTCGTAAACTTGCAAAGTGGGCATACACTTGGCAAATGAATTTCAACATTAGTGAATGAGGCATTGCATGGTAAGAAAATTAAGGATACCACATTACTGGAACAATCAAGATCTCAATGAATTAGAGGTGCAAAGGGATGTTTTGAATGCAAATACACAAATCATTAAAGTAGCAATATAAGTTAATTACACTATTTTAAAAAATAACAAAGCATCGTGGTTTATTTCCAGAGGACTAGAATTGAAAAGTCAAGACGTTAAGCAAAATCTGTGTGGAATCTTTGTGTAAACGACTTTTGGAATGCTGTTAACAATTATGGTTGCCATGTTATAAGACAAATGAAGAGACATAGGAGGGAATGGGGGGGATAAAGAAGATTTACAATGATGGTACCCAAACTGACCCTGCACTTGTCAGATGAATAGGTTTGGATCTCTTGAAAATGAAAGGCTGGGTTGGGAGGTTAATCTGCCAGAGGTATTTAAACTAATGCAAGATTTTAGTGGAGTAGGTACTGAAAGAATGTGCCCCCTTGTGGGAAGAGCAAAACCAAAGGCAGTAAATATAAACTTGTCACTAAACAATCAATTGTGAATTCAGAAGAAATGTCTTTATCATGGGAATTGAAAAATTGTGCAGCTGGATACTGGGGTAATGGTT